CAGCATGGAAGCCAAACATAATACATTGCATCTTGATAGCAGGTCAGTTGCTGTTTGAAAAAGACAAAAGAAAGCAGAGGGCTGTAGCGAGCAGAATTAAGGCTCTCTTCTGTGTTGTTGAGACATGGTAACAAATTGAGATAATACTGCTGTTTAAGGAAGTTGCAGACAGAGAAAGGAAATAATAACCTGTATTTAACAAAGCCAACCACTACATGCTTGTTTCATCAGCTGCAGCAGTTTCCCTGACAGGGTTATGCTGTGACAAAAACAAAAACCATGCAGCCTGACACCTTTCAATCACAAATCGCAAACCTGACACCGATTGGAGTTTGCACAAAGCACCGCATCATACACACTGACAGCAATGTCACAAAGGTCTTACATATATTTTAACACATGGAAGACTTTAACTGCTAACCGATGCATCATAAATAAATAATAATAAGGGACATGCAGCAATATGTACTGCCAAAGAACATTGCCTGCTAATCAGGAATAATTTGACTTCATATGGCACAATGCCTTCTACAGCTTACACAGATCTTACAGATCTCTCTGTTTAGTTGTACCATATAAGCCTGTCACAGATAAAAGAACACTTGCTGTGGATGGAACACAGTACTATCATGCTGTAGCACTGCAATCGAGGCCAATGAGAATTTCCATATATATATATATGTGTGTATATTCTGCACATTTTTTTTATCCTTAACAGGTTTTTGCAGTTAACACATTTACCGCCTGAAAGTTGATATGAATAGTATTTTAACGTAAGAAACTTATATCTGTTGTCTTTCCCACAGGACCTGAAGGCAGCATTAGCTTATGTTTATGCTGTTGCCTTCAGTGACAAATCACACCCCGCCCTATACTCTGGAAAAACCCAGGGCCTTTCCTGCCCCACCGCTGCCATGCATCTGCTGCTGCTAAAAATAGCAGCCCCACTTTGATGATGTAGCGGTGACTGTTGGGAGAACACAAACCCACATCTCTGGCTCTCAATGGTGCAATTAGCCCTAATAAACTGAGAGTGAATTCATGATTTCTTGGAGTAGCTTGGTCAAAGCCATCCAAATCCCTTGGCCCCCACCACCATCCCCTCTAATTACTATGAATGGAGTCATTGCAATGGGACAGATGTGATTTGTTTGTGAGGAAACAAGAAAGTGAGAGCAACATAGCATTAGAGGACAGGATACAGATGTAGTAGTGTGTGTGTGGGTGAGTGTGTTGGTGTGTGTACATGTGGTGGGGTATCCCTTTAGGAACTAAAGCCTGGCTGAGCAACATTTCTACAAATACATACACAAGTAAAGACATATGCAACCAGAACATCTTGTATTATGTCAGATACACAGAACAAAACACATGCCATGGTCCCTTATATTTTAAAGGTGCATTAACTAAGATCTTACACATTGTCTGATAATTCAAGTGAAGTTGGGACAGGACAATGTTTCTCTCTGCTACAATACCCCCCTTCATGACACTCTCCTGCCTACAGTGCTTCTGTTGTTATTCCAGCTTCATTACCCTGAGCTGTCAAAGTCTGGTCTGTTAGCCCCACCTTCCACATGGTGAGGGTTATAAGTATCATTTTTTAACCACTAGTAGCCATTTTCTATAAAGTGAAACTGGAACATCTGGGGTTTATTCCAAGTTAAAAGAAAAACAAATTCAAAATCCCACTGAGATTTATAACTACACTAATAATTAAAACCATCTTTCAACAGAGCATTTCTCAACAGTATGCCATGTGCATCGCTCCATATGTTTAGAAAGGAGAGGTGTTTCATGGCATGAGTTTTCTACATCACGCCAGGCAGAGAACAGTTTGTAATAATGCCACCTTTGTCTTCCAAACACCACACAGAACATTACTCTGGTATGATGAAACAGCTGCAGAAAGTGGAATGATTCATAGAACCTGACACAGAGTGACTCACTTAGTGATAGGTAGATAGACGACAGAAGAAGAGGAAGGAGGTAAAACGAGAGGCAGGACAATGTTGAAGTAGGACAGAGCGCAGGGGAGGCCTGTCTGTCCCAGATTAGTCGTTTACTGCCGGCATGAGATGGAGAAGAAATGAGAGAGATAGGGGAAAAGAAAGAAAGGAGTGAGAGAGCAAACGAGATGGCTAAATCTGGAGTTATGAACTACTCCCCCCCCCCCCAGCACCTAGCAAATATTGAATAAAAAGTTGAGCTCCACTCACTACACTGGAACAAATAAACCAGGAGAGAGACTGAAAATCATATAAGCCCTCAAAGAAAATAAAGCTCTGACAGTCGAACTCTGACAACTTGTCAGTATGGCCACAGCTAAACAGAGGGATAATTGGTCCAGAAGGCACTGCATTTACCCATGTTCTCTTTTTTTCACACCCGCGTGTGAGAAAATCCTGAATAAATATTTCTTGAAATAATACAGTTAATTACAATTAATGAACTTCATCTCCATCAACACCTGTTTTTCTCTTTGAGTCAGGTAAGCTCTGTCCGTGTGTGGTTATAAATCCTCTTTTAAGCTTTGCTGAGCTGATTTAGTGGTGGGAAGAGATTCTGATCCCCCGATCCCCAAAGAGGAATCGGCATGTCAACTGTGTGCTGTGTCCTCTGTGTCTGAACCTGTAGTGTGGTGTTTCGTAAACCTTACCAACCAAGGAGGAATTAATGGTATTCCCCAGTTAAACTTGGGATGAATGTTAATTTAGCCACTAGGGCAGCAAATCGTGTTGTTTGTTGGGCCAAGATTCTCTTTGTACCAAACAACATCTCATGTAGGAGCGACATGACAATCAGTTAACACTCAATGGGAGCTGCATCAGCCTGTTGAACCAGATCAAATCAACTTCCTCAGGGCAAATTAACTGAGCTCCCTGGGAGTCATACCAAACATAACTGGACTCAGCTGAACTGGGCTGCACTGTTTGAGGCTGTTAGTGTTTTCTCATCATTCACAGTCCTAAAGCTTCACAGAAGAATGGCTCCATTCACTGACCAGTTACCTGTTACTGGGGCATATAAGAAGAGGTGATGGTGTAAACTAGTTGTAGAGTATTGCCAGTATAGACAGCTGAGGTGAAAACAGAACTTTCCTTGTTTTATTCAAGCAAATGGAACAAATTAAAATTCCCACTAGCATTTGTAACAAGTAAACATCTAGCCTTGAAACAGAGCTCTTGTCAGTGGTATGTCAAACATTTCTTCATTCAAAACGACAAATGAACAAACCAGAAAATGCATCCCCTGCAATGATCGCCTCCATCATCCCCAGATCTGGCTTTAAAACTGCAGATTAGTCAGAGAAACGTGACACTGATTGAACTCCTTTGATCAAACGTGGATTCTAGTGTGTCTGGTAGGTTAAGACATTTCTTATATGAACGAGCGAAGCACCACTGAAACTTATCTATGGAGATGGTAGCAATGACTTAGTGCATAGTAACTGCTTGACATCAGCAAATGATGAGTGTGTTTGAACTTAGAGTACCACTCAAAGCAAAGACTGAATCACAGATCTGTTCACCAGCACTTTACAGAATAATCACTACACACTGACATAAGCACTTCACTTTTAATACAGGATACTGTATATGCACCATTAATGTACTGATGGTGGGGTTCAAAATGCTACTCACAGTGAGTAAAGTTGGCTGTCTTCTGTCGTTATCTGCTCACCTGTCCTCGGCCTCCCTGTCCCTGAGGCAGCACATCACATACAGAGCATGAATAGCATGTGCATGTGTTTGATACTATGGCTGTGTGTGGGCCATGTGCCCGCCCTCTGCTGTTGTTCAAATCTCTGTGAAATCAAAAATGAATGCACAGCTGTGTCTCTCATGCCTTAATGCCTCCACTGACAACTTAGTCGCAGTTGAGCTTTCAGTCTTGATACATTATGCTGAAATTGTCCTTACTGTTTGTGCAATACAGAAGTAGCTTATGTGTATTTATGTGTGCCATCGCCTTCCTGTAGGCTGTGTTGATTGGAGACAATGACATCTATAGACAGACAAAACTCAGGCAGAGAGATAATTACAGGGGCAGAGTGAACACTTATTCCCAGCTGGCAGGGTGACCCTTTTTCTTGTAAAGGTGGCTGCTACAATGAGAGGACAGCAGTTTGAACATCCACTATCAAATTCATCTGCTATTTATCACATGGCAAAAAAATACCTACAACATCCCTTGAAAGGGTCAGTGCATCTAGGTCCATGTTCACCTATGCATACTCTGCCTTTACATCCTACAGCCAATATGTCAGGTTAGCCAAAGTGGGATTTACTACATGATTTCATGCACTGGTTAGCCTTTTACTGTGAACACGGAGCAGTGAGCTGCTGTGTGTGCTAGATCCTCAGCAGTCCTTGGCATGCAGGCAAATGTATGTGGGAGGGATTATCAGTCTGACACAAAGCTAAATCCAACAGTTAACAGCATCCCTCATACATTATCTGTTTTTATAAATTGTGCCTTATAAATGTTCTGATTCCCTCTCTTGTCTTGTGTTCACCTGGTCTACAAATCTTTGTCCCTCCACTGCTGCATCTCTATTCTCCAACTTTCTCTTATGTTTTCTCTTCTTCTGCCTCTCTATGAAGCTGGGATAGTACAGTCATCTGCAGGCATCAAGGAGAAATGCACTGCAAACACTGCTTCATAAGCCTTCCTTGTGTCTGTGCATCCCTCAGCACATCTGTTTTACTTTTCTCTTTTCATTTTATGTTCAGCTAAAGCTACGTATGGTATGCACAGACAGCCACGTGACAGAGGAACTTATGTTTCACATCAATGCAGTAAACCTGAACATGCAAACCCCTCCCACCTCCTGCTGCACACACAGACACACACCCTTTTGACTTCACCACTATCCCTCTACAAACATGAAATCATCCTCTCCTCCTCCTTTGCCATGTAACCTGCTCCATCTCCATGCACATCTCCTTGACAGAAGAGAATAAAGAAAAACAGAAAAAATAGGAAAATATTCTTACTGTCTTTTACAATCCCTGATGAAATACAGAAATCCCTCTTCTGGAAAAGAAGAAGTAAAGAAGACAAGAGGGGGAGCCCAGCGGTTGTCAGTTGCAGGGGAATAAGGAGTGAGGAGGGGTGAGCGAGAAGATGATGAAGAAGACTGTGGCAAAAGGAGAAATAAGAGAAGCCAATCACTGCTGCAACAATGGAGACCTTCCTCCTTCACAGCCACCGCCGACGCCACGGGAAATTACAAGTTGTCCAGCATGCTGCTGTACACTGAGGCATGGAGTATTATCCTCAGCTCCCAGCCCGTCCTCCAGCAGCAGCAGCTCTGTAGTAACACTTCGGCAATCTCCCCATCCCTCACTTGCTACCTCCCCTTCTCCTTCCCTCCAGCATGTTCAGAGTACCCCCCCCTCCAATACTGGTTGGCTGGTTTCTTTACCTCACACCACTCACTACAGGGCATACTCCTACCTCCCTCCTTCCCTCTCCCTCTCTCTGTGTGTGTCTTTGATGTTATGGAGTTAGACTCTTAGCTGTGAAAAGAATCAGTGTTCTTCATTCTCACAGAACTGAAAGCACCATAGACACAATGGGATCCACCCAGTGGTGCAGAGATACACACAGACACACACGCCACAATACATAAAAGATTATCGAGTAATTACTATAGGTTATCAACAACGAAACTGCACACATCAATTGGAACAAAACTTCTTATTTCTAATAAATACCTGACATAATCAAATGATTATTTCCAAACGAAAGATGCAGAGCAGCATAAACTGTAGCAGTGCAGCTAGCATGCAGTCTCACAGAGAAATATGAATTAGGAGTGACA